ATATATATATATATTATTTATTTTTTTTTTCAATTGAAATTGAAATTGCATTTATTACAAGTCAAGGAAGGAATGTACCCATTCTCTTGAGGGACAGGAAAGGAAATAAGCACATTCTTGTAGATGAGGCTAGGACAAACTTACAATGACAACAGATAATTTTGTAACCAACACTTTTCAGGGTCATGACCAATCCATTTTATCAAATATTGCAGAAGATTATATGGCCATAGTAAAAGGCAACTGACCATTATACTTGAAAACACATTTATCAAAGCCCATTCTACTCCCTGTGAATAACATCACATTCCAGATGGGCACCAGTCCTTGAATCATTACATGTTAACTATTACATTACTTTCCACCACATAGGATTCAATCAAGTTGCTTCCCAGTCTTGATGGATCTCCTAATCACCCATAGTACCCAACCTATGGCCTTGATGAATTGTACCGCTTAGTAAGTAAAATCCCAGCAAGAGATGTAACCAAATACCAGTTACCAGATTAACATGTTATACTTAAAAGGAGAACTATGAGGCGAGTGCTTTTCACTCGCCTCATAGTTCTAGCCGACCTGTGACAATGAGACTGTCACAGGTCGGCTTAGTAGATCGGGAGGTGAGCGAACACATACCGGCGTTCACTCACCTCTCGATCCTGTCACGGCTCTCTGCCGTGACAGGGGAGGGGCTGGATTCCCCCCTCCCCGCTCCGATCCGCCAGCGCTGGCTGGCGGAACCGACGGGGTAGGGGGCGGCTACAGCTGGCTCTGCCTCTAGATAGGCAGAGCCAGCTGTCAGTCACGCAGCTGGGCGGATCCAGACATAATTGTCGAGATCCGCTTCAGCTGCGACGTCTCAGTGTACCGCGAGCTACAGCTGGCAGTATACTGAGCCTAGGGTGACGGGAGGACACTAGTTTGCCTTAAGCCTTAACCCCATAGTTCTCCTTTAATACTGACCTCCATTACCATGCTATATCTAGGATCCCTCTTCTCCAACCTAAAAACAAAGGCTTTCACAATTCCCACTCTAATCTAAACATCACAACACAGGCTCTAAAAAGCCTTATTTTCTATGGCAAGCACAATTTTTATAGTGATGCAGGATGTCTCAATTAATGTATTGCTTACCTTTTCATTTTCCCTCTTCTTCGGCAGTCTGCTGTACTTTGCCATTGATAAATCATGCTCTAAAAAAAAGAAACAAAAAAATGCTTCTGCATTATGTATGACAATAAAACGTCTCAAGCCTACGCCATGGCACATACAGAGCAGCATAAGTGAGAGAGGTATTGGGTACAAGAACAAACATACCATTGCTAGCAAGAAGAAAAAGATCTTTTAACGTGCTTACTTCTGCAAAAAAAAAAGAAATTGCATAATTTAAATACACATATAATGGATTTTTCCCCAAAGTTTTTTTAGCAAAGAAATAACCAACATTATCACATCTTGAATGTTAAATCCCTTATTATGCAGGGTTTAAGCAAACAAAACAATGCAAATATAAAATAACAATGAAACTAACAGCAATAATACAGACCATTTAAGAGGAATGTACCCAACATTATTTGTATCGTGCCATATCAGTAGTCAGAAATCTATTATCAATATACCCATTTATGCCTTGCCAATATGACTTCACAGTAACTGCTATACATCTGAAGGGCTGAACACAAAGATGCAGTTGTTCCCGAAACTGACGATTCTAGTTTTGCCATATGTAAAATTCTGATGGATTACATAGAACACAAACTTCTCATCTCCATCTGCATTTAGCAGACCAAAAGGGAGCAAATAAGAGTAGTTTATTGTTGGGGTTTACATACACTGTAGGTTACATGTGTCAGGGAGAAAACAATAGTATTTTATGCTTCCATAACTGAACTAGCAAAATGTAAAAATCTACAGAAGTTGGGTGGAAAATTGTTGGCCAAACAGTAATTGCACCCTATCAGATGCAGTTACTATTTGGGTATTCAAACAGCAAAAGGCAGTGCTGGCTGTCTGAATAAAATAGCTGGCAGGGAGGGTTCCATCCACGATAAAGAGCGGGATAAACAAGAGAAATCTAGGAGTGTATAGTTAACCTTAGTCGAGATCTCAGATAATCATAGCACCCTTAGCAGTGAACTTCAGCCTCTACCGATGACTGCACAGCAGGCAATGCTGCAGCATTTCACTATGGTTACAGGCCTCAGTACTATAATACAGTAGTTATAAACACTTTCAAGTACCTTGAAAACATTACAGTAAAATATGCCTCATTCAGGTTTGCTGGCTTTGGGGCCTTAGGAGAACTCCTTAGCCACTTTGCCCTTTAAAAAAAAAAAAAAAAACAGCCACAGAGACACTGAATACATTGAGTCGAAATCTCCAGGAACAAGTGAGTATTAAAATATAATGCTTAAAATAAGAAAACATAAAACCAAAACCAGGAAAAGTACACAATGGCAGAAAATATTTTCAGAATACGTCTAGATCTTTGGTTCTTAAATTAAAAAAAAAAAGTAAAAAAAGTATTAGAATTGTAAGGTTATAAACATACGTGAAGGAATATCTTACCTGTAAGGTCTTTTTCACGGAACTGAATTAATGGCAGCACCATCGTGTCAGCCAGTTGATTTGCCAGTCCTGTATGAAGTACATTAAGCTGCAAAAAGAATCAAATAGAAATGTTCAATTAATGATTATAAAAGAGAGAGTGGCCAGTGAAGGTCCTTTGTGTTATTTTGGGTCAACTTTACTTGAAACCTTGTTTTGTTTTTAAGTTTTCTACAACCAGTAGCTACTCTATACAATAATTGTTTTACACATATACATTTAATATATGAGAAATAAGTTAGTTTTGCACTGGCACCCGCTGCCATTGGCCGTAATTGAAAGCTCAGAATTACAAAGCCTGGCTCATGCACCTCCCTGACATCACTGAAAGCACCCTGGTGGCTAAGGATATCACCATGGTGTGGGGAAGCAGCCCATCTGCATGCTTACAGCAGTACCTGTGTTCCTGTACAAGGTTTGAGGCTGATCTAAGGAGTGAAGTTTATGCATTGGGTCTGATCTGAGGTCTGAACTGCATGCTCATCTGGGGCTCATCTGAGTTATGAAGTTCATGCACTGGGACTAAACATGTTTTCGGTGAGCACAAGTTGATCAATTGTGCACTAATAGTTGTACTGCTAATGGAAAGTTAAACTCATTCATGATGATAATGAAAATCATCATGATAATAGTGAGTGAGATTAACTGACCTGAATTTGTTCTCTCTGGACAAGAGGCGATTAAGGAGGGACATGATCACCATGTATAAATACATAAATTGTCCATATAGTGAGCTTGGTGCCAAATGATTCACTTTAAGGTCACTGCAAAGGACAAGTTTAACCTTTGCATACAGAAAGGATTCTTCACATTTAGAGGTGTGAAAATGTGGAATAGACTCTCCCAGGAGCTAGTTCTAGCTAGCTCAGTTTATTGTTTAAAAAAAAATTCTTTATGTATTCCTGAATGCACAGAATATTACTGATTATAGTTATATTAAGCATCAGATATTGTTGAGGAATATCCAATTGCCTTATGGGATCAGGAAGGATTTTTTTTCGCCTGTTGGAGCAAATTGAACCATGCTGTATAGGGTTTTGTTTGCCTTCCTCTGGATCAACAGGGGGTAGCTGTGGGCATAGTGTTCTGTATAGGTTTTTCTTTTTTTCATATCTCTATAGGTTGAACTCAATGGATATGTGTCTTTTTTCAAACTGACTAACTATGTAAACTTGTTATTAGCAGTACAATAGACCAATAGCAGCAGTCTTCCATACACTATAGATTCTCTTACCTATATACCAGTAGCCTATTCACACAGTATTTTCTACTGCACCAACAAATAGCACATTGGTACATTCAGGCAGACAACACCTAATAGCTGAGTTTGAAAGCAATTTTCACCTTAAGTATTCAGGATTGATCATTAAATTGTACTCAGTAGGTGTGATTGCGCAGCAGGCGCCACTCACAAGGTTGGCACCTTTATAATCCATTATATTGATTACCTGGGCTGCATGGTCATCCTAAAATCACAGATGCTCATTTATCTTTTTTTTTCAGTTTCCTTCTACAGGCTCAGATTTTTTATTTGGATAATGATGCTTTAAAAGCCAACTCTAGACTGCTAGAATAACAAGTATCAGAAACAGATTTTATAATACCAGCAATTAAAAGTCCTACAGCTTTTATTAGGTTGTTTGAAAAAAGATGCAATTACATTGTACCATTTTAAGGTACCGTACTTTGTATCAACACAAAGCCATTGCCCTTATTTCAATAGTTCAAGTGATGAATCCAGCAAAAAAAAAGTAACTTACAAACTATTCCAGTATTTATGTCTGTTTCAGGAAGAACTATAATAAACCAGTTTAACCCATTGCTTAAAGTGAACCTCTAGCCCAAAAACGTATTTCTAGTTTAGGATAAAGAAGGGTTAAAACATCTATTGTGTTTTTATCACTGTGCCTGCTGGAGGGATTTCTGCTCACTCTCTGTTCTGGTGACCACACTAGTAGTGAGGGGATATCTTCCAAATGATGGCACAGTCAGCAATAAAATAACCCATTCCTAGAACAATCAGACCAAGATTGCAGGCTTGCTACAGATAGCTGCAGGTTAAAGTTTTGTTTTAAATCTGCTCAGTTCACACCACCGCATTGGTGGTGGAACACGCCCTTAAACCATCATGATATAAGCTGAAATTCACGCTCAAGCATAAATATATACTGTATACATTATACAACATAGGGCCATGTGGCAGGTCTGTATATAGTCTATGCTGCTGCTTATAAAATAAAAGTTTATTCTGCACGGCCAAATAATAGTAATGAAAGAATACAAACAGAAATGTGTATTTATCTCAGTCATAGATTTCCTTTAAAGTCTGAGATGTCCAACCAGCATCTGGCTTAAGTGCAAATTGCAATTTTACGTGTTAAATCTGTTTATTGGCATATACCTTGTCTCCCCTGCCTATTACATAAATGCAAAAACAAGATAAAGTGAACGCATATTGTACAAGCCAAGTTTTATGTTGTACACATACTCGGTATAACATGAAACATGGTCACATCGCAACAATTGGAACCCTTATTTATTTGGTTTTAGAGTGGTTAAGAGTTATAACCTCTGTCAAACTATTATTGCTGTCCGTGTCCCTGCTTAGTAGCTTTACATTCTTTATTTGTCCTGGTCACCATTCCAAGTGATGGAAAATCCAAAATTTACAGCTGTCACCAGAACAATAGGTGAGGGGAAATCTTCCAATTGGAACATCTGTTCTGAGAACAAATATGTCTAAGAGGGGAATTCATCTCACTTTGTATAGGTTTCCTCTTACTTCCTGTGGTATCTCCAGTACAGGACGTGAAAGGAAATATCATCAACAGGATACAAAGATATAAAATAAAATAAAAACCCCTCCCTGTGCCCTACCTTCTCCTGGGTCCTTGTAACAGCATTAAAAAAAGATATGCTACATCCTCTCTCCATGGTCGGTTCTCTTTTTCTTAGTCTATTTCTTGACTCCTCTTTCTCAAGTGCATCTCTCGGTTTCTTTTTTTTCTCGATACATCTCCCTGGCTTTCTCTCTTTGGTCTGTTTTTCCTTTCCTTCCTTTTTCTATCTCTCCGACGGGCTGACTTCTCTCTATTAGATTTCTCTCCTTTTGTTTTTCCATGTCTCTTTGCCGTACTTTATCATCTTGGTACCTGCATTATAGCTAACATTGGTGCTGGTGTATGATTTGCTCAGACCTTTCACACTGTATCTTGGATATTTACGCCTCATGCTTATCTCAGTGACTTATGCTTTGTTTACACTGTTTTTTGTTGAAATTGATTTCTCTGCTTTGAAAACTTTCATAAACTTTGTTTGCAAAAAAAAACCCTGTGCTGCTGACCTTCCATTTCAAACTTTTGATCATATGAATTAGGTGGATATGCATCCTGTGCACCTATATGTAAATACTTCTACATAGACATAACCAATCTTAAACTATCTTACCTCTTTATAACAATCAAAAGGTTTACATGCAATAGACTCAATAATACACATAAAAAAAAAAAAAAATATCCAGTCTGTAGGAATATTTCCATTATTTCAGTCTGCATTTGGTATTGTATTTTCACATACTTGAATAGCAGGTGGTTTCTGGAAATATTGATTATTATGACAAAATTAAAATGGATATCGCTTACTAAACTGAATCATTTGTGATTAGTACTATGTTTTTGAGTGTTTAGGCCCTGCATTTAAATTTCCACCAATAACAATCTTTACATGGAGTCTGCCAGAGTTTGGAAGGGTTTCCTCCCACACTGCAAACATGTGCTGGAAGGTTTATTGGCTGACATCCATACTGGCCCTGGTAAGCATGTATGGCCGTGGTAGGGAATTAACAACGTGTCTTTGAGAGCGCAGAATATAAAATTAACTTTACAAACATATTCAAAGAGTGCTGCCCTCACCTTTTACTCCAGCTATCAACCTCCCTGGCGGTATTCACGGTATTCCCGAGTGTAGCTCGGGGTTACTTTTCCATACCATAAGCGGTAACCCCGAGCTACACTCGGGAATGCCGCATAGCATTTACTTAACTTGTACCTCGAGCTGCGCTGTGTTCTGCGGCCAATGCCGGCTTCCGTCTTCCGGGTTCCGTCCCTTGCGAGCATACGCGTCGCAGGGGGGCGGAACCGGCAGCATATTACAAAAAAAACTACAAAAACAATTCGAAAAAAAAAACAGAGCGAAAAATGACATGAAAAAAAAGAAAAAAATCATACCGCCAGGGAGGTTAAAGCCCATCTCCTGTTAAAGAAAAAAAAACATTCCCTTGCAGTGTGCCTGGGGATTTAAATAAACTTGTATTATTTACCTGATCCTGGCTCCCAAGCGATCAGTGCTCACCTCTCTCCCCCTCCATTCTACATGCTGGAATGTCCCTCAGCGTCCCCATGTCTAATGCAGGTCAAGGGACCTGCATAACATGTGATGACGTCAGTGGTCCTTAGATTGGCCAGAGTGAAGGTGGGGAAGTGGCTGCGGGAACCATTCTAGCAGCATGGACGGAGATGGCGGGAGCAGGAATCAGGTACGTAAAACCGCTTTAATAGTGTCCCGTAGACATAAATAAGCACCCTTGCAGTGCAGAGGTAGCCCCACTGCAAGTGTAAGTTTTGTTTTGCCTGGAGATGGGCTTTAAAGGGTATGCAAAACCTAACAATGAACTTGTTCCATTTTGGTCTGTTATTTTTTTTGTTTTATAGGTTAAGAAATACCTGTTGATCATGCCAAAAATTTAGAGCTGTTCTTTGTCCTCTGTACACTTCCTGTGTTGTCTTTAAGAGTCTATTTAGCCCTCCCAGTCCCTATATTGGGACTATATGTCAATTGGTGTCTATGCTTTACAGATGAAGACAGTGGGATAGATTGCTTTAGGCAAAAGAAAACTGGACAAGGTGGACGCCACTCAGTCTACAAAAATGGTGTGTTGTCAGCCCACAATAGGCTGGGTGCATTTCTGGAAGATCAACAGGTATATTTCTGTATTGTCAAGGTCTTTATAGGACTAAAACATAAAGAAATGTTCATGTATTGCAGAGATGTACTACATATGGTTTTTTTAAAATTAATTTTCTCCTGACACACGCTTTATCCTGTTGTAGTAAATCTGTTAGCATGGTTTATTGTGATACCACCAAAATAATAATCTGGCGGATTTGGTACATCATCGACTCTTTAGGTCCTCCTTTGCCACATCTTTGCGGGGACTGTTTGTGTACGTACTTCATACCTTTGGATGTATATTTGTGTTCTTACGAGTGATTTTGTCCTTTGGCTACTCTTAAGATTTTTTTCTGTATCTAGGTTGTTTTGTTGAAAACTAATAAATGGTCATGAGCCGTGAGACCGGCTCTCTGCCGAGGAGACATTCTCAACTGCATGGAACTACCGCGAGATGCCTTTCCTTGTGCCGCCCGCCTCAGCGGGTGAGCTGCCCTTGTCTCTTGTGCACATGCTTGTATTACATATGTGATCAGTTAATAAAAGAATTTAGAAAACTAATAAACTGTTACTATTTAAAAGGAGAACTATGAAGCGAGTGATTTCCACTCACCCTCATATTTAGAGCCGACCTGTGACATTGAAACTGTCACACATCGACTCTATAGATCGGAAAGATGTGCGTACACATACCGTCGCTCACTCACTTTCCGATCATCTCCCTGCAGAGAGCGGTGACTGTCAGTCACTGCTTTCCACAGGGATTCCCCCCTCTCCAATCCTCCAGCACTGACTGGAGGAACGGACGGGGGAGGGGGCGCGGGTCACGGGAAGAGGTTAGTCCTCCTGTGACCCTAAAGAGAACTATGGGGAAAAACACTTTGCCCATAGTTCTCTTTTAACAATATTAATAATAAGAATAATAATCTGGCTTATGAAATAGCAAAACACCTCTGACTTTATTAGAAAAAAAGCCCGTAGTGAGGAAATATAGAAGCTGGCATGACTAAACTGCCTGGTTATCATGCTGATAAATTGATTTTAGGATGAAGATCAGGAGTTCCGACTTCACTCAAGCTTGGTTTTCTGCATATTTGTTCCAGAGCAGTAATTTAAAGTTTCAGAAACAGCCAGGCAGCAATGGTGTCCAGTAACCCAAAGCAGCCAATCAGAAATCACATATTACTTGGCTACACTGAATATCTGAAGACTGATCTTTAGCTGGTCACTATATAGAATATGATAACTAGACCACTGTATAAAAGGTTCTTAATCAGTGGCGGAACTTTCACCATAGCGACCCAGGTGGCCGCTATGGGGCCCAGGGCACAGGGGTGCCCGGCCAGGACGAGGAACAAAGGGGTCCCCCTCATGCCCTGTGGGCCGCCTGGGTCGCTCTCTGCAGGGTCACTCTCAGGTGGGCTCTGCAAGGGGCATAACTAGAACTCACAGGGCCCCACACAAAATGTTTGTATGGGGCCCTATGATTTCTAGTTACGGACCTGTTCTTAATCACTCTCTTTATAATCTAATAAAGACTTTCATAGGTGAAATAAAGTTGTCATTTTTTCAAACATTTACAAAACCACCCGTGGTTCTAATGTGCATAGAGATGCAAAAAAGAAGGTTTCACTTTGTATAGCTATTTGAACTAGGAAGCAGAAAAAATTGTGATGCACTAACCTCATCTACTACATTTGCAAAGCATTGTGAGATCGATATGACTTCTTCATCTCCTTTTCCCAGAGCGAAATTCTAGAAACGAATGAAGTTACAATGAACAGCTGATTCAAGAGATACAAAATAAACAGCATTTGTTACGAATAACTAAAATCAAGGCCTCAGAAAGATAAAGATGGTGTGCATTCAGTGCTTCAATTATTAAAAAAATAGACCCATCACTGAAAATCACATTTTACATGAATCAGCAGGGCACAAGTCAGCACTGCCAAATCCATTATTATTTAAAGCTGAACTCTAGGCAGGTATAAAAGACACAAATCGATTCAGCTTAGTATTCATTAATACATCATTAAATTTTTTTTCGGGCCAGCAGTACTGAATTTGACTCAGGTTCAACCTCTTGCAGTTAGGTACTGCATAGCTGAAAGGGAGAAGCAGAAGCAGCACAAGGAACCAATCAGCTCATGTGCTGACAAGGAACCTGCTGATAGGAGGAGAAAGCCAAGTGACCGAGAGGTAAGCTTATTACTTCTCCGTTACGGTTTAGTCACAGGTTGGGATAAGGATCATGATAGCTTGGGCTCAGAGGATGTGGAGTGAATTATGCTGGCTTTCATTTAACCTGGAAGTCTGTGGCCATCCGCAGGTAGAAATACTGCTTTTTTTATTTTAGGTTTTAATGGGCTATTTTGTTGTCTTCATTTTTACCTGGAGTTCTGCTTTCAATAATAAAATACCTATTTTATGATAGAATTAAAAATAGAATAATACACTGTGTGTTATTTACAAACAGTCCCTTTATGGGAGACTTGCATCAGATAACAGAAAAATCAAAGCACTACCATTCATCAACCCACACCTGTACAGAGTAAATATGGCCGTACTCATATATTACAAACTACACAAAAAAAACAAGATTTAAAAAAAATGAACACCCAATGATAAGACTATTTACATTAACCCAATCATATTAACGTGTCTCTTTGAAGCTTTTAAATATACTAAAACTGAAGGTACCCAGTCTTGACCCACCCAACGTGGTTTTACTATTTGAGACTCCCAGGTCAAGACCCTTGTGTTTGCCATCTGGTGTCATTTAGTGAATGGCCACAGACAACCAAAGTACATCCACAGGTAAGAGGTGTAGGCTAAAAACTGGCAAAGGTCAGAGCTGATGGAGCTCAGGCAGTGGTGACATAGGGAGCCGACAACCAGAGGACAGACTGGGATAATAACCAGAATGACATTCAAGCATCGCTGAACAGATACCAAATCTCACAAGAACAAGCACAAACCTTTTCGCCCTGACTTTCATATGAAAAAAATCTGGTCAGAACATTTGATGATGCCATCGGAGACTTGACGAAAGCTGTTCAAAAAACGCATTCTCTTTTACAATTTCATTTGTTCGTCCAAAATTTTCCAAACTGAACCTTCAATATTTTTTTGGGTCACTACCGTCCAAATGGTTGTCAAATTGCCCCCATTGATTATTAGATGATCAAACAAATGTTTCAAAAATTCATTTTTAGGAACAAAATTCTAACGGAGCTTCAAATTCTGATTTAAATTCTGGCTTTGTGGGTGCCTAAAAAGTACGGTTTTGCATTTTTGATTGATTTGGGATGTGGTACCCCTTACCTCCTCCCCTCTTTTCTCCATTATTATAAACCCAGCTTTAGAAGAAAGTGTGCTTGCTGAAGGTCTGGATGGAGGCAAATTTACATCCTTTTCTGAATGGATCCCACCCCTCCCTCGATTAGGGTCATTCATTCCAATTGCATGCCTACACCATGGAAAGGCATGATACGGTGCAACATTTTCAGGCACCCCTGAGGAAGCCAGAAGCCACGCTGGTTAAGAAAGGCTGGTATAGACTAACAGGTACCATGGGGTCACACTGAAGAGCAGTACAGCATCCTCCCTCCCTGTCTGAAATACTGTCTGAAATACTGCAGAATCTCCCATGCCAGCAGAGTGCTTCGCTGTTCCAGCCAGTAAGGGAGCAATGCAGTAGAAATGGGCGAGTGCTTTTTACCGTCTCTAGCAATTATGCTGCTGGCGAGTTATCACCAGCAAAAAGATTGCTATTGTGACATAAGCCTAATTCAGCAGATGAGACCAAAGACTAGTTTTGCCTACGTACGGTAGTATAGAATTATCCTGTTCAGATGACTGTTTACAGAGTCAATTAGAAAGAGAATAGAAGATGCTTTAGGGCTCACTCACATGGGCATGGGCATCCGTGCGGCATGCACACCTATGCAGGGACCTGCTCCTGGGAAGGACAGATGCTGCATGTAAAGTGCAGGTCTCCGCACGGGTGTGCACGCCCATGTGAAGAGCCCTTAAAATAGATGAATGAAAATCTAAAAAGCTCAAAAAAAATAAAAAAATGACAGCAAAACCCAAATCAAGACTAAAATAAACCCAGCTGAGATGAATTTAGAATGATTCGCCGCTTTGTTATTTGCTTTCAGATTGAAAAAGGCCAATAAAAATAGGACCACTGACTAAAAGCTTTTGGCCACACTGTAATTTTTGCCATTGTGTGCATTTGGCATTGAGGATTTTAAGCTTCGTTGAACTTTATTTCATGTTGATGACTGAACAATTGCATTAACGTATTTTTGTTCCATTATCAAACACACATTGCGTAATAATACCCAGTCATGTGGAAAATATTTGTACCTGTTTTTCATACGCGAGGAGCTGGCTGGACAGTTGCTGGGTTGCTAGACACATTTCATTCTTTAAAAAGAACACAAATATCCAAGTCAGCAAATACCTGCACAGATGTAATACACACGGCATAAAATCACTGAAAACATAATGGCAGTGTGTGAATATTTCCCCATGCTCTTCTTTGAATTCCTGACACTTTTGTCAGGAATTCAAAAGGAAAGTCTGAAAGAAGACAAAACTTCCAAGGAGCTAAAAAATCTATAAAAAACACTAATGGCAGAAATGTCACAAACAACAAAAATTAAATTAGTAAAAAAAAAAAAAAAAAAAAGAGAGTCCTTTCTTGCCATTAATAAATAACAATGCCCCGAGCTCCACTATATCAGCTGCAGCCTAGACAATGATTACATTGTCTTTGGCTGAAAGATGCATTGTGGATGTCTGTCACCATTAGGGACTGCAATGTGTACACTACTTTCAGACACAACTGATCAGGGAGATTAGATGATTAGTAGGAAACAGAGCCAGCTCATGTAATGAGGAAACATGGATGCCCACATGTACATGTATTGTACACAAAACTATAAAAAATATACATTTATTTAAAAACACATTTTTAAGATTATTTACATTTAGCTGACATTCATGTGTACAGCTAAAAAACACGAAAGGGTCTATGGTCTTCTATAAAGTGTGTTTTTACAGTTTTGGATAGAGTAAAGAGGTATTAGGACCACTGTCAGGTTTTTATTGCTGTCTGTATAAATGCAAGTGAGAGCCCCCCCCCCATATTGGGCCTGGTGACTCCTGTCACCAGGGCTTAAAGTGATAGAAAATACAAACATTTGAGTTGTCACCAGAACAGGAATGGAGGGGGAGTCTTCTAATTGGGACATTTGTTCTGGTGACAACTGTTTAAGAGGGCATTTCTATTACTATGGAGAGTTTTTCTCTCACTTCCTGTTGTGTCTGAAGAAAACAGGAAGTGAAGGGGAATCTCCACAATGGGACACATATTTAAAAAACTGACAGGGCTTTTAACCGTTCATTACTTTATCCAAAAAAAAGGCTACTCGGAAACATTAAAAAAAAAACCCAAAAAAACCAATGCATTACAATGTGTATTGTTCAGACTATAGCAGCGTCCATGCGGTCCGCAATCGCACGTCCCGCAAAATAGTCCACAGTCCATAAACCCATCGCACACTGAACCACTGTTCCAAAATATTTAAAAGGAGACTATGGGGTCAGGGCTTTCCCCATAGTTCTCCCAAGGGTCACGGGAGAACACAAACTAGCGTTCTCCCGTCACCCAAAGCTCAGTATACAGCGAGCTACAGCTTGCGGTATACTGAGACGCCGCAGCCGGGACGGATCCCGACAATAATGTCTGGATCCCCCCAGCTGCGGGATTGACAGCTTGCTCTGCCTATCCAGAGGCAGAGCCAGCTGTGCCCGCCCCCTCCCCCGTCCATTCCGCCAGTCAGCGCTGGAGGATCGGACAGGGGAGGGGGAATCCCTGCAGGGAGCCGTGAGTGACAGTCACGGCTCTCTGCAGGGATAGATCGAGAAGTGAGCGAGCGACGGTATGTGTTCGCTCACTTCCCGATCTACTGAGCCGACCTGTGACAGTTTCATTGTCACAGGTCGGCTCAGATTATGAGGCTGAGTGAATATCACTCGCCTCATAATTCTCCTTTAAGTGGGTGCTGCGGCTGTCGACGGACGGCAACCGTCACAATCACAAGTAGAAGTATAGACACCGGCAGTCCAATAGCAAATTAAATACGTCTATTTATGTGAAGTATGAGCAGCATAGCAGGATACACTTGGTGCAAGGTTCCGGGGTCTCACAGGATCCCCTTGATCATCCCTGCAAAATAGTCCAAGCACAATTTTTATATTGTATTCTGCACATATGTGAAAAGTTGCGCATTTTCATGCCAATCGGTTTTCCACGTGGAAAACACAAGCGTCACATGTGAATGGAGCCTGAAAGTGATATTAAAGTCACAAATATTTTCCTCCTCGTCATGCTGCTTTAAAGGACTTATCTTAAAATGATGCCTCTTGATCCGGTCATCTTCTCGTTCATTACTTTATCCAAAAAAAAGGCTACTCGGAAACATTAAAAAAAAAACCCAAAAAAACCAATGCATTACAATGTGTATTGTTCAGACTATAGCAGCGTCCATGCGGTCCGCAATCGCACGTCCCGCAAAATAGTCCACAGTCCATAAACCCATCGCACACTGAACCACTGTTCCAAAATATTTAAAAGGAGACTATGGGGTCAGGGCTTTCCCCATAGTTCTCCCAAGGGTCACGGGAGAACACAAACTAGCGTTCTCCCGTCACCCAAAGCTCAGTATACAGCGAGCTACAGCTTGCGGTATACTGAGACGCCGCAGCCGGGACGGATCCCGACAATAATGTCTGGATCCCCCCAGCTGCGGGATTGACAGCTTGCTCTGCCTATCCAGAGGCAGAGCCAGCTGTGCCCGCCCCCTCCCCCGTCCATTCCGCCAGTCAGCGCTGGAGGATCGGACAGGGGAGGGGGAATCCCTGCAGGGAGCCGTGAGTGACAGTCACGGCTCTCTGCAGGGATAGATCGAGAAGTGAGCGAGCGACGGTATGTGTTCGCTCACTTCCCGATCTACTGAGCCGACCTGTGACAGTTTCATTGTCACAGGTCGGCTCAGATTATGAGGCTGAGTGAATATCACTCGCCTCATAATTCTCCTTTAAGTGGGTGCTGCGGCTGTCGACGGACGGCAACCGTCACAATCACAAGTAGAAGTATAGACACCGGCAGTCCAATAGCAAATTAAATACGTCTATTTATGTGAAGTATGAGCAGCATAGCAGGATACACTTGGTGCAAGGTTCCGGGGTCTCACAGGATCCCCTTGATCATCCCTGCAAAATAGTCCAAGCACAATTTTTATATTGTATTCTGCACATATGTGAAAAGTTGCGCATTTTCATGCCAATCGGTTTTCCACGTGGAAAACACAAGCGTCACATGTGAATGGAGCCTGAAAGTGATATTAAAGTCACAAATATTTTCCTCCTCGTCATGCTGCTTTAAAGGACTTATCTTAAAATGATGCCTCTTGATCCGGTCATCTTCTTCTTTCCACTTGTATTCAGCAATCCCTCCAGCGCCGGTGCGGGTCTCTGATCCACCGCAGATTCCTGTCCCTTCCTGTCCCACGGTGTCTGTCCAACATGCAAGCTCCTGGGCGCAAGCATTCACTTACACTGCGTCTCTCATCTTCTCCCCGCCATAGGTCTGTACTGCGCATGCGCCCACCCCATCATTCTGCATGGCCGCTCGAGAATCTTCAGATTTTCGGACGGGAGCGAGCAGCGGAGACAGAGGTAAGTAGTTAACTTTTTGGTAGCTTTTTTATTTTTTTAAAATGTTTTTGCATAAATCTACTGCTTGCTAGCAGTTGATATATGCAAAAAAAATAAAATAACGAGAGTTGAATTATACTTTAACCCTTGCAGTGCAGGGGTAGCCCCACTGCAGGGGTTCATTTTTCAAAATCCTGGAGTTCTTCTTTCATATTCTTCAACAGTAGATAACTGTTGTAGGTATTTCATTATCTGTGTTCAGCATTTTTTATCTTTGCAGAGTTATTTCTTAGAACCTGAATTGGGAGTATGTTATGTGGTCATTTCAGCTTGTGCTTAGCAGAGATGATATGGTATAAATCACCTATATTTGTATTATACTGTATTTTTAATATTGTCTAGCTTCTGAGAGATTATTGTTAGACTTGAAGTAATAATCAAATGTTTTCCCTGGTGATTTGCCTGATCTGCTCATTCATGTCAACGTCATCTTTATTTTCTTCCAAATAGTTTCTAATAAATATTTGTCAAACTTGTATCCCATAATCTGATTTAAACTCTCCTGACACACATTGCCTAAAGACTGAAAATCAACATATCAGCATACTTCCCCATTTGTAGTAAGCAATGCAATGGTGCCTTTAAGTAATTTTCAGGCCTAAAATGTGGAATATAACATGGGTAAAAAAATGAAAAAAAGGCCTCAGTCATGAAGGGGTTAAATAAATGGGGCCCCCCTATAGAACACCGGTAGTGTGGCAGGAACAAAAGCATTCATATGTCCTATTGATGAGCCCTTTGTGGATGTCTCCAGCCTGGAGCAAGCCACCATGTCGAGCATTCCTGACAGAATCAATTTGTTATTGCATCAAACACCCTAATCCTAATTTGAGATCCACATCAGACCATCACATTATCAAATTATAGGTTTGGGAATTTCATGTTATCAATCAGTAGTAAGAGAATATAATCCTTCATACCGTCTAGCCCAGGGGTAGACAGCCTTGGCACTCCAGCTGTTATAGAACTGCAAGTCCCATGAGCCATTGCAAAACTGACAGTCACAAGCATGACTCCAAGAGGCAGAGGCATGATAGAATTTGTAGTTTCAGCACAGCTGGAGTGCCATGGTTGCCTACACCCTGGTCTAGCCCTTAATGAGAAAGTGAACTTGTTCTGCAAATTGACCCACCTGTGCCCCATAGACACGTTGCATTGTTTGAAGCAGTTGATTTGTATAGTCCGTCAGTGTTCCGGCATCTTCCTCAAATACGCTCAGCAGGGATCGAGTCTACATTGGAAGAACAAAATGCATATCAAATTCAGAATACTTTAGCAAAGCAAGAGGCAAGTTCAAAAAACAGGGAGGACATCTTTGATTGCAAAGTAAATTTAAGCTGGTGCCATGTAATGATCACCAACACACTTTACATGTGACATTGTTAGTGGAAGAACCTGACATGACTTCATTTATAAAACTTCTGCCCGGCCATTAGCCAGGCAAATGCTGTTCACATGGCACTAGTGCCCCTAGATGGTGCTGACAATTACAGGAGAGTTCTTTACTCGTTTTATAAATCGTATAGTATTCCCCATTCAGGGAAATTTGCATGGTCCTTTTGTTGTCTGCCTTGAACCACCTGCGGTCCCTCTTCTTGAGCAAATGCTTGTAAGCTGTACTATGCTGGGCACACACCTTACAACCATCGCAAGACTTTTGTCTTGCGATGGTTGTAAGGTAATTAAAAAACGTACGATCTACCTATCTTGGGCAGGCAGATCGTACTTGCAATGACCCCCCCGGGGGTGCGGGCTTCCGATGACCGCAATGCCGAACGGGCAGTGTGCGCTTGCGCACACCGGCCCGTCCGGCTTTTATCTTACGAACATGCTACACACCCGAACATCGTACGATGCTCGGCTGGTTTTCGAACATGTTCCTAAGATAAAAGTCGTGCGACCTTACAGTAGTAGAAGTCGCACGGCTTCCACACACCTTACGATAATCATACGATCGCGGGATTTCCCGCGATTATCGTACGATTATCGCAAGGTGTGTGGGCACCTTTAGAAGAGACACTAAAGAAACTAAAATTCCATGAAAAGAAATCAAACTTCACTTATAAAATATTAATATAGAACCATATAGAGGGTCAAATCTGAATATTAGGCACCCATGCTTAAAGTGCAACTAAAGCAAAAACTTATTAGTTTTCAATACAGTGGGGATCAGAGAGAGGGATTAGAACACTGTTTTCACTGCTGTCTGCCTCCTCATTCGTGAGATCCCCCCTCTCTATTTGTCCTGGTGGCCATTATCACTGAGGGCTAGTTAACACCAGCCCAATTTGGTCTGGGAACGCACTGAATCACATCCCCGCCGGCTCACTTTGTTTTGGGGCGGGAAGGTGCATTGAAGTCAATGGCACTGCACACATGCCCTCAGGTTATGGTGCAATCAACCGCACCGGAACACGTGGCACATCAGTGCCTGCGTTCCGGTCCGGTGCGGTCAGAAAAAATGCTGCATGCACTTTTTTTTCTGACCACACCAGAACGCAGGCATTAATGTGCTGCGCGTTCCTGTGCAGGTGATCGCACTGTGGGCAGAGGGCATGGCTGCAGTGCCATTGACTTCAATGCACCGCCATGCCCCCTCCCGCCCCAAAACAAAGTGAGCCACCCGGAATGCGATCCAGTGCGTTCTGGCACCGAATCAGGCCGGAACGCAATGGGGCTGCTGCGAACTAGCCCTGAAAGTAAAAGAAAATCCAAAATGTTGGGTTGTCATCAAAAGAGAAATAGATGGGAAACCTTCCAATGGTGACAGTAGTTCTGGTGACCCAGCTGACCACAAGAGATTTCCCACACTTTGGATGGATCTTGTCTTACTTCCTGTTGTGTCTATTGAAAAGGAAGTGAAGGGAAATCTCCCCAGTGAGACACAGGTAGCTAGAAAAGCTGACAGGGGTTATAAACCTCTGTAAAGCTGGCCATACACCTATAGATTTTCTGCAGATTTTCTATGGTCAGATGGAAAAAGTGCAACAGATTATTCCATCTACGCTAAACTGTGACCAGAACAATCTGATTGGATGCAGGCATTGATCAGGTATTTTGAGAGCCAGCGGGGCCGACTAGCAAGATACTGAAGCTTGGCCCAGTGGGAGATTCCGCCATCCACACAGTTTAGCGTAGATGGAGGAATCTGTTGCACTTGTTCCATCTGACCATATAGATTTTCTACAGAAATTCTAGGTGTATGGCCAAACTTAAGGCTTCATTCAGAGCCTTTTTATGCAGAGATCTCTCTGCAAATTCTGTCAGGCTAGATGCTTTGTTTATGCTTCTAGATGCTAAAATGATGTGCATTTACATGGAAATCATTATATGCGTTTAGAAAACCATTTGAAACGCATATAAACACATCTAGTAATCACACTTTGTGTGAACGTAGCCTAACTCTATCCAAAGCAACAAGTTTGGACTTTACTGTAGTTCTACTTTAAAATAAAAATATAGGGGAAGTATTTTTCCCCATAGTTCTCTTTAGGGTCACAGGAGGACATATACTAACCTCCTCCCGTGACCCACACCTCAGTATATAGCCAGCTATTGCGCGCGATATACTGAGAGCGCCGCAGCCGGGACGGATCCCGACAATACTATCAAAATCCACCCAGCTGCGTGACTGACACCGGGCGCTGCCTATCTAGAGGCAGAACCAGCTGTGCCCGTCCCCTCCCCGTTCATTCCTCCACTCAGCACTGGAGGATCAGAGAAGGGAGGTGTGAATCCCAGCAGGGAGCGGTGACTGACAGGGAGATGATCGGGAGTGAGCGAATCGGCAGCATGTTTCTGCTCACTTCCCGATCGATATAGCGGACCTGTGACAGCTTTTTTGTCACAGGTCGGCTCTAACTATGAGGATGAGTGGAAATTACTCACCTCATAGTTCTCCTTTAAGTAAATAAATATTATTATTATTATTTTTAATAGTAGAACATATTCTGTGCAAAGGAGAGATCAAAGTAAAAAATGGAAAAATAAACTATCATGGCCATGATATCTTTGAACAAATGAGGTTTCATCACATGTTCTAAAACCACTTGAACATTACTCATAAAAACAAGTAAAATATGTTTTCTTTTTATAGTTAACCTTCAAGTTATGGTGACTCACAAAATGCATTAAAAAAACTGTTAACATCCTGGACTAATTTAAAATGGCTAATTTAAAATGAGTATATGAAGAACACACCACATAAGCAGAGGATATGTTCACTGAAACTACATATTAATAGTTCAAGAGGCTCCTTATTGGTTATTTAATGTGGTGAGCGGCCTCACTACACAATGATCAACCTTGGGTGGCAGGATAGTTAAAAGGCATGGCTTGACTTTTTGTAAGGATACTCAAGATTCACATACAAGTGGCACTAAACCCGGTTACATCTTAAAAATACATTCAAGTACCTTAACTAATAACAAAAATGTATCTTATTTGTGTATCACTCGGCTGTAGATCCTCAAATCATCCCTGGATTCATGCTGACACTGTCCTTCCTTCTGGAGGGTGGCTACTTTTGTTCCCCATGGTACCTGTGTGTGCTGTAAAATAGACACCGCTCCAAGCTCACTCCTGTGATGGACTACAATCTCACGCTTAGTTTACTCATTTGTATTGAGATTGTAGACCATCACGGGAGCGAGCTTGGAGTGGTGGCTACTTTACAACACACACAGGGACCATCTTACCAGCAGCGGTAGAGGACTACAAATCCCAGCATTACATTATACAGTGATGCAGAATGACACAACCAGCTATAGAGGGCTACAAATACCAGCAATACATTATACAGCAATGAAGAATGGCAACTGGCTATAGAGGACTACAAATCTTAGCAATACATTACACATCAATGTAGAATAATAGTGTTATTTTAGATTATCAGGTCTATTCACAAAAGGGTGAAGGGTTTGGAGAAGGCAGGAGAAGGGGACAATCTAGGACAACATCGCTGATCTGGAAAGTGAGCTGAATTGGAGATTTTTTTTCCAAAACAGCTACTGTGGCCTAGATTGTTCACTTCTCCTGCCTTCTCCAAACTCTTCACCCTTTTGTGAACATCCCTGTATATTTTGATATGTTAATTATGTAACCCATTCAGAAAGCAGTGATCAGGACTGTGAATCAGCAGTCATGATGCTGACAGCCATGGCACTGCAACTAATTTTTTTCCCACTGTACAGTCGTGGCCAAAGGTTTTGAGAATGACACCAATATTAGTTTTCACAAAGTTTGCGGCTTCAGTTTGTATGATGGCAATTTGCATATACTCCAGAATGTTATGAAGAGTGATCAGATCAATTGCAATTAATTGCAAAGTCCCTCTTTGCCATGAAAATGAACTTAATCCCCCCCCCAAAAAAAATTTCAGCCCTGCCACAAAAGGACCAGCTGACATCATGTCAGTGATTCTCATTAACACAGGTGTCAGTGTTGACGAGGACAAGGCTGCAGACCACTCTGTCATGATGATTGAGTTAGAATAACAGACTGGAAGCTTTAAAAGGAGGGTGGTGCTTGAAATCATTGTTCTTCCTCTGTTAACCATGGTTACCTGCAAGGAAACACGTGCAGTCATTGCTTTGCATTCTGGAAAAGGTACAAGGATTGGACTGCTGAGGACTGGGGTAAAGTCATTTTCTCTGATGAATCCCCTTTCCGATTGTTGGGGCATCCGGAAAAATACCTTGTCCGGAGAAGAAAAGGTGACCACTACCATCAGTCCTGTGTCATGCCAACAGTAAAGCATCCCGTGACCATTCATGTGTGGGGTTGCTTCTCAGACAAAGGGAGTGGGCTCCCTCACAATAAAGAATGGTACAAAAACATCCTCCAAGAGCAACTTCTCCCAACCATTCAATAACAGTTTGGTGATGAACAATGCCTTTTCCAGCATGATGGAGCACCTTGCCATAAGGCAAAAGTGATAACTAAGTGGCTTGGAGAACAACATTTTGGGGAACTTGTGGTCAATCCTCAAGAGGCGGGTGAACAAACCCCCCCCCCCCCCCCAAATTCTGACAAACTCCAAGCATTGAGTATGCAAGAATGGGCCGCCATCAGTCAGGATGTGGCCCAGAAGTTGATTAACAGCATGCCACTTCCTTTAAAGCAATATTTTTATTTGCCAACTTTGGGGTGTTTTGTGCATTGCATTTGCACTATTATAAAAAAAAATGAATAACAAAACCAGTCCTCAATGTTTTGACATGTTAATTATGTAACCAATCTATTAAGCAGTGGGCAGGACTAGCTGTTGCCAGGAGCTGACTGACAAGCTACAGCCTTGTGTGAATCAGCACCGGCAATGCTGATAGCCACACAACCTGCAACATATTTCCATCCCACTGTAGTGCAAGCAGGCACAGCCTACATGAGTGGCAACTCTGCTCTGTATTATGGAGCAGTGCAGCATTGTTGGCAGTGGTGATTAGACTGGGCTTGGTGCAAACTCCGTTCAACCAAGTCCTCTCAAAACTGCGACTAACATCCCCCCAATCAGTGGCGGCAGTTGCAGAGGGGGGCATTCTCTGCCCTTTTGTGACATATAGCTGTGGATCAGGGAATGCATCTCTGTGCAACTTATTGGGCTGGGAGGGTGGCGGTTACAGTTTTGAGCAGGCTTGGGCCAAGCCCAGGCTCATGACAGAAAGCTGCATTATTTTTATTTGTGTTTTGTACATTGCATTTTACATTGCTATCAAAAAAAATAATTGACCTCATTTTCAGTGTTTTTAAAAAAAATAATATTTTGATCTCATTTTCCATTTTTATTTTAAATAATCGTTTGATATGTTAAACATGTAAAAAAAAAAACATGGCTGTGAAGAGCTGATGATCCCATAGTAATGTGATGTTGTAGCCTCTGTGATATGAAGCCAGCCCTCCCTTCTCATCCAGACTAAGCCTCCTGTGTTCTCCTAAGCAGGCCTCTCAGCAGGCTGTCACAGGAGCTGATAATAAAGCCTGGATTCTAGGAAACCTTACACACAGGTACTGCTGGGCCCATGTATTATAAATGGTACTGTGCACCAGCCAGGGATCCCAACACTGCTGGTGACAAATGCACAACAAGTCAATGTAAACAAAGCTAACTTTCCCAGCTGCATCCGGGTATGTCCTCCTCCTTTCAGCAATCATCCAGCCCAAGTTCCCATTAACCTGCACAGTGCTGGAGCCAGCACCCCCTGGAAATACGATGCTGTTGAATATCATCCCCCCTGATCCCACTGGTGATCGCCCCTAAGAACAAACACAGACCGGAAAGATCGAGAGATCACAGGCAGCCGATCAGCAATCAACCATCGTGCACTAAGCCAAGCCTCACCCTGCAATCTGTGCAACACAGCCCCCTCCTTGGGACTGTCTTATGTAAGGCTGCTCTTACCTGGGGGCTGTCTAACAAAGCCTCCTCCAACAGCAGCTTATCCACAGCGGGCATGTTGTCCTCCACAGGGCAGGTACTGAATAATTTAGCTGGATTCAATTAGCACCCCCCCTCCTCTTCAAGCGCAGTCACACGTACTGAACGGGCGCTACGGCTTGTGGCCGCTAGTGGGCGGCAGAGAGCAGCTCCGAGTCAGGCGTGCTCTCCTCTGCTGTATCAAGTGTCACTTCATTACTGGGGCTCATTCACATCACATATTATAACACTCCTATCTACGCTGGTTCTTTCTACCAGAAGCTGGCAGAAAAATACAGCCAAAAAAAATGCAACTTTTAATAAAATATCTCAGAAGAAGAAAAACAATGCACATTTTAGTGTGTAATTACACACATTCGAAATTCATGCCATTAAAATTTGCAATACAAAGCTTTTTTTTATTTATGGATCAGAATATATGGTATATTTTTTTCAAGGGGAACATACACACATAGGACTGTAAACATGCACCGCGCTGAGATCAGGAATACAAAATCAAAAAATCTGCACCTGAGTACGTACATTTTATGCATGTATACGTGTAAACGTATGTTTATGCATCTAAACGCAAGCATTTTACTGATTATTATGCTGGAACTTTTTGGCTAGTAAAAAAGTGCATATGATCAGTTCATTTTTTTATGTGTGCATGTCATCTTAAGTTGCCCATACACTTGCGATTATCGTTCGATTTCCCAATCTAATCTGGTTTTCTTATGATAATCGGCCAGTTGTTGTAAAATCAACGATCACAATTACTGTACAACTGGCCGAAATTAATCTATCGGGCAGACTAGAAAACTTTTTTCGAATTGTACAAAAATCAATGGATTAGTCGCGTTTTCGTATGGAAAAAAACGCAACATGAACACTGCACATGCGCAAACGAATATCTGTTCTGTCGATCGACCAAATTCGACCAGTTAGCACTGCTGACGAATGATTATCGAAATCTACATTGGTCTGTGCATGATGGGGTATTTGTGTGGAAATTGAAGGAGGGTGCAGTGACGGGACAAAGAAAATTGAACGATAATTGTAAGGAGTATGGCCAGCATATGCACGTATACTAACCCTGTTGGGTAGAATATTCATTTATTCTATCCACTAGAATTAATTCACATGGATACATGCGTGTTTACACACATTCGTATGAGTTAATGGGCCTATAAGTGTATATTAAAGTGACATTATAGTCATGGTTTTTTTCCCCCTATTATGTTTCTGCTTTTAATACTTGCCTTATGTGATGCCTCTTGATCTAAACATCTTCTGCCTTCCACTGGTTTCTAGCAGTCCCTCCAACGCTGGTGCAGGTCTCTGATCCAGCGCAAACTTCTGTGTCCCACAGAGTCTGTCCGGCGTGCACGCTCCCGCCTGCATGCATTCACTTCTACTGAGTCTCTCCTCTGCACCCCACCAGTGATCTCCACTGTGCATGCACCCGGTTACACTTTCTCCTGCACGGGCCACAGGTAAGTAATTGTCTATTTAACAATTGTATTTATTTTTTAAAATCTTTTTGCATATGTCTGCTGCTTGCAAAAAAGATGGAGACTTTAATTCTACTTTAAGGCAGAAAGCTGCTAGTTTTAGGGCATTTCAATTAAAGGAGAACTATGAGGTGAGTGCTTTTCACTCACCTCATAGTTCTAGCCGACCTGTGACAATGAGACTGTCACAGGTCGTCTCAGTAGATCGGGAGGTGAGCGAACACATATCGGCGTTCGCTCACCTCTCGATCCTGTCACAGCTCTCTGCCGTGAAAGGGGAGGGGCTGGATTCCCCCCTCCCAGCTCTGATCCGCCAGCACTGACTGGCGGAACGGACGGGGGAGGGGGCGGGTACAGCTGGCTCTGCCTCTATATAGGCAGAGCCAGCTGTCAGTCACGCAGCTGGGCGGATCCCGGCATAATTGTTGGGATCCGCAGCAGCTCGCGGTATACTGCGACGTCTCAGTATACCGCGAGCTACAGCTCGCGGTATACTGAGCCTAGGGTGACGGGAGGACGCTAGTTTGTGTCCTCCCGTTACCCTAAGGAGAACTATGGGGAAAAGCCTTAACCCTGTGAGGTTCCAAAACGTTGCTTTTTAACATGCTGAATGGACGTCAATAAAGGCATTTTATTGGTATAAAGATTAAGGGCCTGTTCACACCGATTGCGCTGTGTTCCAAAGGTAGCTTCTGGAACGCACAGCAATTGCTCATTAAACTTCCCCCTTTGTTCTGGGGCAGGAGGTGGTGTGGCGGTGCATTGAAGTCAATGGCACCTCAGCCAAGCCCCCCTGCCCGCAGTGCGATCGGAAAGTGTGGCAAAACAATGCTGCATGCTCTTATTTTTTGTGTTCGCAGTGGACTGGAATGCAAACAATGTTTTGCCACGCGTCCAATCGCACTGCGGGCAAGGGATGTGGCTGCCATTGACTTCAATGCACCGCCACGCCCCCTTTCGTCCCAGAACAAAGGGGGAAGTTCAAGTTTACTGAGCGATTGCTGTGTATTCCAACAGCTATTGGTGTGTACAAGCCCTGAGGCGTGTCAGTGACATACATCCAGACAAACAGTTGACGTTTAGGATCACATGAATGTGTATCATTCGTTATTTTTTGATTCCCCATTATAATGAAGTGCCATGAGGTTCTCGGGGCACTTCATCGTTGCTGCACTGTACCTGAAAACTAATCTGTAAAATAAGATGTATTTTTTATAATATATGCATTTGTAATTTTAAATACATCAGAGATGTGAAAAAAGTGCCAGTTGTGATGATTTTACTGGAAAGAACGTTCTAGTAATACAAATTACTAGAACTAATTTTTGTCTAGAGGCTGGAGTAAAGCAGATTTACTTACCTTAACCCCACTCCCCCCTCGGCAGTCAACGCTCTCCTCTTCTCCCACTCGACTCCAGTTGGTGGACTGTCTCTCAGCGTCCTCACATCTAAGGCAGCTCTATGGAACCTGCATTAGTAGTGATGACGTCAATGGTCCTTAGACTGCCAAAGTCCAGGGGAGAAGAGGCTCTGGGGATTGGGGAAGTTAGGGGAGTGGAGATAAGGTACAGTAAGTAAATCCGCTTTGCTCCAGTCCCCGAGACAGAAAAAAGCACTTAACCCTTGCAGTGTTGGGCTACACCACTGCAAGGGTACTTTTTTGTTTGCCCACAGGTGGACTTTAACATTCTGGGTATGGAACAAATTTAAGCAACTGACTGATGCCTTTTTTTTTTAGAAATGATGAGGAAAATCACTTTTTTGACAATATTTTTAATATTTTTGATATTTAAGAATTAGAAAGTCTGTGGGTTCCATTTCGCAGCCAGGAGACGAAGGCAGATGAGCCCCATAGAAGCCTGTGGGACTGCAATGAGCCTGCACAGCCAGGAGAGAGAGACTGGACATGTGGCAAGGGATGTAAATAAACAACATAGGCCATAACCATGGAAGGTGGGATTGGTTATTTCAGGGCAAAGGGGAAAAGAGGATAAGTGCACTTTGTTTTAAAGTGGACTTATCCGTTAAAGGCATGAAAACTAGGGGAAGAACTCTGTGGTGCTCCCTCCCCTTGGTGCCCTAAGCATGTGTTTATTTTGCTTAATGGTTATTCAAGCCTTGATGTAGTATTACTGTAACAGCACATTGCACTGTTTAAGATAAAACAATCAGATATCCAGCAATGTGCTAAACCTGGATGTACTTCCTTACATAGGTGAACTGTAAACCGAACAATTATTATGCCGTATTCAGTTTCCACAATAGTGACCAAGTAATTTACTTCTGTGCACCCCTAACCTGCCAAAACCACACACTGAACACAGATTGGCCAGAATGCTGTAAAATATTTGCCCATTATGTAAGTATATGTCTAATACGCTGTACTATTATCTGATTTATGGTTTTTCTACCAGGCTTCAATATCTTGTCCTCATACACAGGTAAACCAGACCAACAGAATACGACCCCCTTTCCTCTGTCCAGAATGTTCAATCTGATCTCTAGCTTAACCCTTGTGTGTACACATCTGACAGTTACACTGGCCACATACTGGTCACATTTCTTCAGAGTCAGCAGGACTTGACCGAAACTTGAGCAGAGTGTGGCCCTCTTGGAACTCCAAGACCACGTTCAACAAAAATGTATTTTTAAAATTACTTTTTTTGAAGGAGCCCATTCACAATTTCTCTTCTTCCGCAGAATACAGTAGCCCTGCAGGGGGATTGCCACATAATTTCCCCCATTTAAAAAAATCCCTTTTATGCAGTGAGTGCTGCCATCGGTCTGCCCATCACTTTAATCAACTTTGTGGATTCTTTGTATCTCTTTCCCTGCTGCTTGATGTGATGTAATCTTGATTTCTCAAAACTGCATATCCCATCATGCATTGCTTCCAGCAAACAATGATGATGTTACATTGTTCAGACCCTGAGTTGTAGTTCAGAAAGTAGGCTCTAAGAGGATTGTGACACAAGGAAGGGCATGTTCACAGAGCTGAATGAAATTGGGTCACTGTATAGATGAAGTACATCCTATAGGCATCTTTAAAAAGTAAGTTTATAAACTTCTAGATGAATAAATGGATATAGTTATTGGGAGTGGGATAAAACTTATGGAAATTCAATATAAAAATAAAGATTTATTTTTAGTTTTTGATCATAAACACCCTCTAAGTTGACTCGATGGGTCAATACTTTCGAGTCAATTACCAAGATTTCTACAAACATCTATACTATGTTGTGATTATTGGCTAGATAGTAGCTAGATACAATATTCTATGGTTCAGGGTGGCAGTGAGGCCTTTATTGTCATCTTGTATCCTTAGGCCCCGTTCCCACTGCGCGATATGCAAATCGCGCGTTTGTTGCGCAATTTGCATATTGCGCGACATCGCGAGATTTGCCGCGCGATATCGCGTTCAAGCTTGCATTGAGCAAGCTTGAATCGCGGCTAAATCCGCTCCAAAAAGGGTCCTGCTGTAGCGACACCGCGACAGCAGGACCCTTTGCCCCATTGAAATGCATTGGAGCGCGATATCGCGCTGTAATTTGCAGCGATATCGCGGGAATCATCGCGCGATAAATC